CGCGGGGGGGGGGCGAAAAAACCACTACCGAAGTATACAGAAAATAAGTCAATGATTGACGGCTGAAAAACGGTATGTCTTGGTTTTAAGAGCAGAAGATGGAACTGTCATAAGAAACAAACATCAGTTTCTGAGGAGAGTATAAGATTTTCATAGTCCAGCATGAAATCAGAAATGAGGAAAGCTCAGATGAAGAAAAGGAACCTAAAGAAACAACTAAAATAGACGCCCTTCCAGGCATGCAATTGTTGAATGAAGTGCGAAATGCAATGAAACAGGCGAAGCACGGATGGCTGTTGGTGAAGATCGCATTAGAGAAGAACTCTTGCAATCAGGAGATGAAGCATTGGCCAAGATTCTAGCGCGTTTGTTTTGTTCTCACGCTATTTGAATAAACTGAAAAATCATCCATTATTTCATTTTGCAGATTATGAGACAAGAGGACCAGAAGAAGAACAGGCCAATCAGTTTGATGCAAGTCATTTATAAGATCTACATGAATGTAGCGACGAAAACATTTGATTTCCGAAGCGTTACTGACTCAGCCTGCAGCCGGCCTGTATTGGATGCCATGATGAGCCGGGGAATCGCGGAAAGACACACGGTCCTCGTCGCCATGATGTATAAGAATGCAACCACTTGTATAAAGCCTCACGACCATAAAAACGAATTCCATATCAGAAACGACGTCCGGCAAAACCAAATAATTTCATCGAAGTTATTCATGATAAGAAGTCTGCCAGACAATGCAAATCTAAAATTTTTTTTAAAGATGCATTGAAACTAACCAAATCATCTGACCACAGAACAACTCAGGAGAAGAATCAGAAAGCTGACCGACAGCAGCATCAGTGGACAGAAAGTGAGGCGGAGAATAACTGAGGCCATGTTTAACAAATACCTGATCCCACTAGTTACTGAAATCGATGGGCTAAGGATTGAAGAAATGGAACAGTAAGTCTGTATTGAACAATTCATCTCTGAAATGTTCACGGGAGTAAAACTGGTCCTGACCGACTTGGAAGATTGAAAATGTCCTTGTGATTAAAGCGAACAGTTTTCCATCAGTGCGTGCTCCCAGAGTCAATATATGGATACGAAATATGAGCCTTATGCTAGGAAGCTACTCATAAACTGCAGATTCAGCAACGCAGCAGAGAAACGTGTATGTGGAGAATTGAAATAAGAATTAAAAGAACGAAGAATGGGTGGAACATCGACAGATGTCATTCATGTCACGACGAAGGAGCTAAAGTGGAGATGAGCAGGATATCAGACGAAAGATTATCACTGGATTCTAAGAGGCAAGAAACAACCGGTCAAGAGACCTCCAGATGATTGATTGACTGAGCTAAAATACTTTTATCGAATAACTTGGACAATATGTACAGGCGAAATCTTCGAAAGGCCATCATTCAATTGTAGACCGATATCGGCTGACGATGGTGATGACTACAGTGATGCCGTAACTTTATCCTTAATGCAGACACTCATTACGCATACACGCAATTCGAGACCGGTAGGCGGCAGGATGGACCGTAATAATAAACCTGTCCGGATTGCGAACTGGTTCTGCTCTCCCACTATAAGGTAGAAAATGCATGCGGTGAATCGTTTGTTGCTCAGATCACGGATTAGCCAGCAATATACCTACCTCGGATATGAACTTGTAGGGAGAGGATGCTGTTTTTTATCGACCATGGTCATCGCCGCGGTTTTAGTGGAATGACTGTGTTCGAAATTAGATGCTGTCATTTTAAATCCGGTCTGCCGTGGTTCCATTTCGACTTTGGGTTTAGTCTCATCGAGCTCTTCTCGACTGTCGCCGAATGAACCGCGCTCGATGATCAGGGTATATTGATTCTTTCCATTTATCAGATTAAAGAAATGATCTTTATCTCTAACGTGAATGTTGTTGACTGCCAAAATGACGTCGTTTGGTTTTAAACTTTTGGCGAAACGACATTCCTTTTCCACCGTATCAATCACAACGTCGTTGTCGTTCATTATTAGGCTAAGTCCAAAGCGCACATTCGGTTGCTCAACTGAATTCGAGATTGACACCAAAAAGTACTCGGCATCGTCTCGTCTCTTGAATGCTTTTTCCAGCGCAGGTTCTTCAAACAGATGTTTAGTAGTGATGCTAAATGAAACGTAGTTTGAATTCAGATTGTCTCATAAATATAGAATCGAAAAAGAATTCTGCTTCCAATGCTTTATCTTTATCTCTTATTTAATCATTACTTCGAAGGAATGTCAACTTTCACTGTTACTGTAATACTGCTCTAACTATTAATATATCTGTTCTCTAAATATTCAATTTATTTATGTCGGTGCGATTTCACGCAGCAACATAATAACAGAAAACGAAATCAACTTTCAGATGTTCAAGGCGACAGCAGAATGGAAACCCCTTTAAAATAATGACTGTCTCCCTAAAAACAAAATTAATTAACAGTACCCTAAAGGCAATGGTTCTTCCGTTTTTTCCTGTCTGTTCCAATCAATAAAGTACGCTTCCTCTGTAAGGTACTGAAGAAACTTTCTCCAGCTCATTGCGGCAAGAATTGCTGAGGAAGAAATGTTCTCCCTTCGCTGAATCCAATCAGAACTGTCGGTACGCTTTCACAATGGAAATAATCACCAGCCTTTACAACAAATATTCTGCTGACATTTTATAGAAACAGCGCATCGTAACTTTCGTTGTAATACGCGATCACTCTTTCAAAGTTTAAACACTTTAAACATCGACGAACGCAGATCGGAAATGTGTGTTCATAATGTAAAACGAGAATCTCTAAGAACTACGCCATAGTGAATGAAACATTGGTGATACCGCAAAATAATATTTAACAATAAAGACATGAACAATAACATATGACCTCTGTCAGACATGTTTTTGCCAATGGCCGCGCCACACACGCAAGTCGATATTTCCCCACTCTTCTAGGTGCCATGCCCTTTGTCTCAACGTGTTGCTGAACGACCGAATGGACGTCTGTTGCCGAAGGGGATCCAGTCGGTGACTCGGGATGTCCTCGTGTTTTCCTTCAAACGAGTCACATGGCCAGTTCATCGTCTGTTAAAGTTGCAGCCGGCACTGAGTACACCCAAAAATCGTGTTCAACACCGAACTCTAGCATTTTGAAACATGGTCTCGATGGAAGACCTTGCGTATTCTTCTTTCCGTCGCCTCATGCGGAACTATTTGTTTTCTTTTCTCACTCTTGGTGGTAGATCAGCACTCGACGCCATAAATAATGACTGGTAGAACGGCGGAGGCGAGGAGATTTTTCTCTGTGGACATGGGCAGTTAATTGTCCAGTAGCGATGTTTTGATATGATTGAAATTTGCCAATGCCGCTTTTTCCTTCTGCTGATTTCGCCGTTCATTTTGTTATTGGAGTCTATTAAGAGGCCTAGGCATACCAGCTAGCGACTTTTCAACCTCTTCATCACCAATCAAGATGGTGCGTACGGGGTAGTGCTCTCTGTGTATGCATTTCGTCTTGGA